ATGGGAACAGCTGGGAGCTGGGGGCAGAGCAGAGCAGCCATGGGGACTTTAAAAGAGAACACAGAAAGGCTGAGCTTTCTTCTTGGCTGACTTCCAGTTGTACCCGGTCACTGCTCAGCCAGTGCCATCTGTGGGTAGGACAGACCATGCCCAGCTGCATGCCAGACCATACATTTTCTTTGTCTTCTCTCCCTTTTACTTAATCCACATGTAAATCAACCCTTTTACATCTTTAAAAAATTTCTCTCTGTGTGTCTGCTTTGGATCTTCTCCTGTATTTTTTCTTTTTTTTTTTTGGTCCTGTATTTTTAAGTCTTGGGTGAGGACTCACAAATCTAGTCATGCCAGTCTGTCTCTCCTTCCCGCCCGTGCCACCCCCACCGCCCCAAAATTTGCCCTGTAGCACTAGGTCCACAAGTAACAAATATGATCACTTTGCAAAGAAATGGTAAAAAGATTCCTAGTAACGCAGAAGCATTTCTGCTTTGGAATAAAATTTTGGTGGATCTTTTGAATTTTGTACTATATGCAGGTCTTCACGATCCCAAACACATTTTTTTAAAAAACAGACTCGAATGGGTTAAAGCTCTCCTTTCTGCATAGGGAAGTGTATGTTCCATTTTAAATTTCAAATGATAAAAATGATTTTGCCTGAGTAAATAAGATTTGTTTCAGAAATTTTGATTTTTGAGAAATATTGTTCCCTTTACAAATAAGCTCTGCAATTTCTTCTAAGTGGAAAAGAAGCATGAGAGAAGATGGCATTTTGTAATCATGGTCTGTCCATTCCACCACAGCTTCTGGAAACTTCCATTGTAAAATAGTGCTCATTTTGTGATTTCTCAGATTTATTTCCTATTTGTATCTAGTTTTTAAATCTAATTGTGACTATGTGAGAAAAATCTAGTTGAGTGTATGTGAGAAAAACTAGGAGTGAGAAGCGGTGTAGTTAAAAAGAAAACAATGGAAAAAACCACCCAAGTGTATTAATTTTAAAATGATGGCCCATGCTACAATGTTAAGATGTCATTAAAAAGAATGCATGCACTAAAGTGGCACGTCAACCAAGAACAATGACATGTCCCCAGCCTTAGAAGCCACTGTACTAACTTCTCCAATGCCATGGTGACCAGCTGCCTAATGAAGGGAAGGATGCTGATAACATCAGTGCCTGAGGAACACAGGGTGGTTTTTAATTAACAACACAGAAAAGAACAACTTCTATAGAAATAGATCAATAGTCTTGTCATCAACTGACCCTAGATTGCCTGCACACCCACGGTACACAAGCATGCAGAAACTGGGCCTCCCTGGTGGTGCAAGATGTTAAGTGTCAGCACTATGAAGCTATCACGGCAACTGCAGTATGAGTTCGATGCCCGGCCAGGGAGGTGACGCACACTGTGCAGCAGACCTCTCCTGTCCCGCCCCCTGCTCCTCCCAGCAGTGTATTTCAGCCATTCCTCCTGTTCTGCTCCCCACTCTGTCTCTGGTGAATCCTCTCACCCCTCCCTTACACCTCTGGCCTACACCCCAGCTCTTGTATGCATAAATAAATAAATCTTCAAAAAAAAAATGCTGAAACTCTCCCCACTTCTGTATGTCCCCACATTTCTTTCTTCCCTATAGAGACTTCCTCACTTGATTCTCTGAGACACAGCCTTGTTGTAAACTAGTATTACCTCCAAAGAAAGTTATAGTACATTATATAGGATGAATTAATTTGGGGGTATAAAAAAGTAAATGCTGGGCCTCCCTGGTGGCATGGGGGTTAAAGACAGCGCTGTCAAGCTATCGCCAGCCACTGCAGCACCAGTTCAATCCCTAGCTGGCCAGGGAGCTACCCACATGGTGCAGCAGACCTCTCCTGACTCACCCGCTGCTCCCCTCAACAGTATATTTCAGTAGATATGCCTGTTCTGCTCCCCACTCTCTCTGGGAAATCCTCTCACCCCCCCCACCTCTGGCTTATACCCCAGTTCTTATATGCATAAATAAATAACTCTTTGAAAAATAAAATAAAAAATAAAAATTCTACCCCAAATTAATTTGGGGATATAAAGAAAAAATACAATATACTAATGTATATACTGAAAAAATGTCTGAGGAGTATAAACCAAATTAATCAGGGTGTGAAGTGTTGGAAGACCTGGGAGGGAGGATAGATTATGACTTTAACTTTCTAGGTTATATATTTTTGCAATGTCTATTTTTACTGCAAGCATGTATTAATTATTCAGCAGAAAATATACTAGAGAAAATTTGAAAGTTAGGAAAAGTTCAAGTAGGTAGGCAGTCGAGATGAGATTACAACGGGTTAGAAACCAAGGGCTCACCCAGCATATTTTCTCCTCAAACATTTCTTTTTCACAATTTACAACTTTTATTTTTGTTGTGTGGTTAACACTCTTTTTTTTAAATTTTATTTTTATATTCCCCATACAATTGCAACCCCTTATTTTGACCCCAAGGCTAACATTCTTTTTTACCCACCTGGAGTCCTTTGTGACTGCCTAGAAGAGCAGCAAGTAGTAAACTTTGGGGAGGATTTGACTAATGCTGAGAGTGAATGTGTGAAAAGAAATTGGACAGGCATTACAGATAAATTTCAGCAGATAAATCCACGGATCTGGGAGAGCAATGGTGATAAAATTGTGGAGCACAAACTCTGTGTGCTCATCTGAGGGTTACTGAGGCATTGTGAGCAGAGCAGTGTCCAGTGCTCAGGCCACAGTAATAAAATTATCAGCCAGGAGGACAGATGGCACGTAGTGGCCACAGGATCATCACCCTAGAAGCATTTATTTATTTAGGGGAAAAAAGTGAGCCGGGTGTCAGGATGGCCGAGTGGTCTAAGGCGCCAGACTCAAGCTCTGTCTTCCTCATGTAGAGGATTCTGGTCTCCGAATGGAGGCGTGGGTTCGAATCCCACTTCTGACACATTATTTTCTTTTAAAAAAATATTCGCTTCTCTACCTTTTCCTTTCCCATTCTATCAAAAATGACGGCCCTTCAATGAGGTCTGTCCACCGCCTTTTCCTACTTTTTCCTGGTCGCTCTTTCATCACGGATCACGTTCGGCACAGCACTTTGGCATCTTCATTAAAGGCGCGTTTCCTGCATGCACATTAACTTGGAGGGCCCTTGAAGGAAAATCATTCTGGTGACAACAGCGACATGGACAGAGACACGGATCACAGCCTGATGCCGAGCATAAGAACCGCTGACACCGTACTTGTGTGTCCTCTCGCACTGCCTGAGCTATCAAAATTCAAAGTATTAGAATCGAAAGTAGAGTGATCGGAAGGCAAAAATGAGCAGAAATAGGAAAGGTTCCACCGAGATTTGAACTCGGATCGCTGGATTCAGAGTCCAGAGTGCTAACCATTACACCATGGAACCCGCCTTGGCGCTGCTCGAACCTGCGGTCCATCTGACAGCTCTTCCCTTGTATCTCCCCCCCCCACCCTTTAAATTAATACGCTTGAAATTAATGCAACAGAAAATGAAATATCACTTTAAACAGAATACTTCTCTTTTCCCTAATTGATCTATAAAAAAAAATCCCCGGGTCATTATTCTCCCCTTCCCCCCTCCGGGCGGAAAATCTCTGCACTTCTCAGCCGCAGGGCAATGGCAGAGTCGACACAGGTGGGAAGGGCTGTCACCGAGTTTCCACCGCGTCTTCTTTCCAGGTTTCCTTTCGCCCAAATCAGGGGCAGGGCCGGGTCCTGATCCGAGAATATTTTCGACTTAGCCAAAGGCAAATTGGATTCTAATCTCGTGACTCAGACGAGGAAAGAAAACGTATAACCTTTTTTCTACCGCTTCACTCTAGGTTTTCATTCTAGGTTACCTGCATGCAGGTGCTCCTGAGACCCCTTCGGAGTTTCTTGGTTTGTTTTTATATTGGGCTTGAAAGTTAAAACTGTCTTCCCATTCCTAAATGCCTTCACTGCACCACGGGATCTCATTCCTCCTGGACACCGGAGGCCTGATACAAAGTAGCTTATTCAATGCTCGCTGTGTGCACAGGGAGGAACAGATGAGGGAATGGAGGAGTGAGCGAATATCTAGTGGGACAGCCTCTTTTAGGTTTTCACTCCATAGGCTAAATGGGACAAGTGCAAAGAGACAACTGTTCTAGCTTTCTTGTTTGTTTGCCTCTCCAGACCCCAGCTTCCAGCTTCACATATAGGTGTGCTCAGGTGTGGCGAGAGGGTGTCACAGTGCTGGGCAGAATCATTTTTTGTTACATTGTGACATGATTATTTACCTAGTAACTGTCAAAGCAACATATAACAAAGAGATCATCTAAGTAGCATGAAATACTTCAGCATGGAGAAATACTCAATTGCTAATGGCTTCTTTAGCCTTGGTGATATAATGGTGAGCATAGCTGCCTTCCAAACTCCTTCCTCAGTGGATCTACATATTCATTATTGGTCATCTATCCTTAATGTGTCTCTGGTAGTCTCCTGAGTCAGAATTGCTCAGGAACACCTGAATCCATTTCAGACATGCATCTTCTGTTGTGGTGCCAACTAAGCAAAGTGCCCACCACAACGTAGCTCATCAAAAAATATGAATTGAATTGAATATTATCTTTGGGAAGTGAGAAGTGGTGAAATTCAAAGACTTTTGGCCAGGTGAGTATAAAGTTCTTCTAAGTGTCTACTCCTCTCTCCATACACATAAACACTCCATTCTCATGGACCAAGATAGCTCAAATCCAGCTGAATAAGGGACCAGATCTTTCCTCCCTGGCACAGATGGCATACTTTTTATTTCAGGAGCCACAACCTTACTCCTTAAAGAAAAAGAAAAGTACCCACTGGCTTTAAAATGATACCAGAAACTCAGAAGCTCAGAATTCAATTATATGCTCTCTGGGAATAGGTAAGGGGGAAGGCGCATGGCTGACTGTTCATCCTGAGCACATTTACCCTCCAGGAGAGGATAGTAAGTAAATACCAGGAAAAATAGGACAGATGGCCATGGGTTGTTTTATTTATTGTTCAGTCTGGAGTTCAGAAAGCTGCACCTTTACCTTGGATTTGTCCAAGGCTGTTTCACAAATATTTCAAGGAGATGGCAAACAGGAAAAGCACTGAAGGGAATCATTGGGGGAGAGATGATTGGACCCTAGAGCCCAAAAACAATCTGTTCCCTGGTAATCTGAGCTGAGGGTTTGGAGTCACCGGGTAGCAGAGCTGAATCCAGAAGGAGCAATATCATCAGCAGTCCAGGACAAGTTCAGTTGGCGTGTCCTAGAGAAACAGGGCTCTAAGGGGCATAGCATAGTATATACTGACGTTGATACATGTCTGTATGTCTGAAACCACATAATGTTATGTCGCTTCAATTAAAAGAAAAGAAATGGGGTTTAAGGACATATGACCCTAAGTAAAACAGCAGATCTCAGGGTCTTCCTAGCTTTTTAGTTCTGTGTATGTTGCTCACTTCACAGATGAGGAAGATAGTCTTTCATGTAGACATTCATTGAAACTTAACACCAATATTTATTTATGCCAAATAAGACACCAATATTTATTTTAGCCAAATAAGGGATGGGCTCTCAATGAGAGAGTTTATTATTTGCTGCCACAGAAAGCACAATATAGCACTTAAACTCAGTGTATGGGAGGGGGGGGAGGCAAAACAGACAGTTACATTTTAAAGAAAACAACAACAGAATGTTCATGTACTTTCACTTTTAAGCTTATACAAATTTAACTCTTTTACCTATTATCTAAAAGATTCATGGGTTCCTGAATTTGCACTTATTAATCTTCACACACTTGCAATTTCACATGCTGCAGAAGATGAAAATTCTACGAGACAGGTCCCGAAAACTCAGATAATTGGGTGCAGAGTTCATTCCAGCTGAGGCCTGTCAGTGGAAGGTTTCAGAATCAGCCTGCCACCCCTCTTCTCCACCTCAAAACCCATCTGTTTAAGCAGCGAGGCATCTGCCAGGCCTTGCTCTTCCATCTTTGCGATCAAGTCTTGGTTCTGGCTGTTGTCCTCGGTGAGGTTTCGGAGAGCATACACTACCCACTGGCTCAGAAAGGGGTTGCTGTCTTCAGTGCCACAGCTGTCCAGGATCAAGGGGATGCCGTCCAGTCCACTCACTTTGTCCTGGTTCTCTTTATTCTTGTAACACAGGTTTCCAATCAAACGAATGAGATGAGACTTAAACCCCTCAGCCATATTTGAGACATTTCTCTCTGCTTTCAGGCAGCCAGAGGTGCTGAAGATGTTTGTGGTGTTTTTGCCAGTGACATGAATCAGTCGTAAAAGATCAATCACTCTTTCCAGCAAGTCAGGGAAGACCTGCAGGTAGCTGAGCAGATCAGTGTTAGCTGACATTTCACACAGGACATCCAGCAGCCTAATTGTGGCCTGGGCCTCCTCTTCCTCCTCAGTATGCAGCTCCGAGGCCAGATTCAGCACAGTCTTGTACTGATCCACAAAAGCCCTTGCAATCAACTCAGCATGGCTCAGAAACACAGGGATGTCATCCTGGATCAGGGACTCGTCGCCCGCTATTTTGGCGACCATGATGTCCAACAATGTAACCCTTTCTTGATTGCTCATTTTGGCATACATAGCTTTTACCAAGTCCGGGCATTTCAGAAAATGGTCGGTAATAATCAAGAAGGGCCACTCTGATTCGGGCTGCCTTCGGTGGACGTCTACGACGTCAATTGCAACGTTGAGATTTTCTTCCAGGTCTTTCATTCTTTCAGAATTAAGGGATGTAAACAATATCATTGACGAGTAGGCGACGATTTTTTTGTCTGGATGATTTAAGCAAGACAAAAAGAGTTCTGGAAAAGCATGCATCCAAACAACCGACTGGGAATCTTCATTTCGTGAGGCCACATTGCCTAAAAACTGGAGGCCACAGCGAAAAGCTGTCAACAGGGATTCCTGTTCCACACGCAGCTCACGAAAAAGAAAAACCAAATCCACAGCAACGCCAATGGTATCCAGGTTCCTGATTGAATTCTGGTTCACGGGACACTCTATACACGCATTTCGCAGACACCTGAAGCACTCGGTTATCAGCTGCAGGCTGGAGGCCAGATGCTCCACTTGGGACGGATCCCTGCAGGCCAGCTCCACAGCATGGGAAGACCGCTTTAAGATGTCCAGGACTCGCTGGAAGATCGTCCGAGGCGCTGTTTCTCGGTTCCGCTGCTCCTTAAAGAGCGCGGTCAGCGCGCGGAGAGCCTCCAGGTCCTGGATGGGGACCTGCACCAGGACGCCCGACAGCCAGGCAGGAGGGGGCCTGGGCGCAGCCATCTTGCCGCCTGCAGCTCGCGCCGCGACGAGCCGAGTTGCTGCGCAAGGGGGAGCAGGAGGAGGAAGGGGGGGCGGAAAGGGGCGAGGCGGGGCGGAGAAGGACGGGCGGGGGAGGAGGGCAGCGGGGGAGACGAAGGTGGAGCGGGAAGAGAGGCTGGAGGAGGTAGAGTTAGGGAAGCGGGAGGGGGAGGAGCGGCGGGAGGAGGAGCAGCGGCGGGAGGAGGAGGAGCGGCGGGAGGAGAAGCAGCGGCGGGAGGAGGAGGCGGCGGAGGAGGAGGAGCGGCGGGAGGAGGAGCAGCGGCGGGAGGAGGAGGAGCGGCGGGAGGAGGAGCAGCGGCGGGAGGAGGAGCAGCGGCGGGAGGAGGAGGAGCGGCGGGAGGAGGAGCAGCGGCGGGAGGAGGAGCAGCGGCGGGAGGAGGAGGAGCGGCGGGAGGAGGAGCAGCGGCGGGAGGAGGAGCAGCGGCGGAGAGGAGGAGGAGCGGCGGGAGGAGGAGCAGCGGCGGGAGGAGGAGGAGCGGCGGGAGGAGGAGCAGCGGCGGGAGGAGGAGCAGCGGCGGCCGGAGGCGCGTCTCCAGCCCTCCACCACCCCGCGGGAGAGCGCGGCGCCGCGAACGCGCCCCTTATCGCGACAGTGGGGAGGAGTGGATCGCCCTCAAATCTTTATTTAGCTTTCATGATGTGGGGAAGCAAGAGGAACATGATTCTGGGTCTGACAAAGTGCACGAAGTGTGAGGAAACACGGACAACCGAGCGCTCGAGCCCGCGCGGGGTGGAGAGGTCGGGCGCCCCAGGCGCGCCCACGGCGAGGCCCAGCTAAGGGGCGCGGAGCGTCGGCAGAGGACGGGAAGGCCGGGCTGCACTTCGCAGCAGGTTGCCTTTTCCCGTTCCTGTATCTATGGCTGGGGGTTGAAAACGACTCATTCATGAAGTCGTGAATTCAGTGATTTAACTGAGTTCATGAAGTGAACGTGCCCTCGTTCTAATATCCCAGCAGGAGTGAAATCACCGTCTCTCCTGCCCTGCGCTCTAACGCGGTGCCACCGGGAACCGTGTGGAATGCGCGTGTCCTTCGGGTCCCCGGGGCGCCGGGTACACGGTTGCTGCTCGGGAACACGGCCCCGGGACCGAGGTATCCAAAATGTCCTTCCTAGTCCAGGCTCGTTCTTTCCACCAGAAGTTGTGTCAGTTTGGGGCCTTTTTGCTCCCGATGCTTGTCTTCCTGGCAAGGCGCCAGAGCAGCCCCCACCCCCTTCTCCCCAGCCTCGCGCCTGATTGTAATTCTCAGGGAGAGATGAAGGGAGAGGCTTCCAGAAGCAAATTCCTAGCAGACGCCTAGAGGACGGGACACTGAGGGCGGGAGACAGACGGGGTCCAGGGCAAGAAAGGTCTGCTCGGGGCGGCGAGAGAGACTTTCGTGGGTGCGACGTGAGGGGCAATTGAGGGACCAGTCGGGGAGCCTGGGGTAGAGTCGCCACAGCTCAGATCAAGGTAATTAGGGTCAAACTATGAACTGAGAAGACTGCGGGGTGAGAATTGCGGCTGAGCAGGGCTTGTCTCCAGGTGCCGGCCGATTCAGGGAAACTGACAGCCATTCATTCGTCCATCATTTACTGAAAGATGAAACAAATAGCTGCTAAGAAAGTAGGACTCGAATAAAAAAATTGAAAAGATACGAATGAATGAAATGAAGTCTGTTCTGTGGTGATCCTTCCGGGCTGTGGAAACGCATTCTTGTTAACTGAAATAATGCAAGGCCCATCGTGTGCTGGACAGTTTGGGGGGTGGCAGCTATGGGTCTTATCTCTAGCCTCAGGGAAACACAGGTGGGAGGAGGAGAGAAAGTGGCCTAAGCGCGGGTCCTGGGAGAACTGTCCACAAAACCAATAACATCGGACGCCAAAAAAAAAAAAAAAACTTGGCAGCGGTGGGATTCGAACCCACGCCCCCGAAGAGACTGGAGCCTTAATCCAGCGCCTTAGACCGCTCGGCCACGCTACCACCCGTAGGTTGGACAGTCTCCTGCACTTCCCCCAACTTGAACTTGGCTCCCGCCTCTGCCCAACTCACCCCTTCCTCGCCGCCCCCACCGCGGCCCCTCCGGGGGCGGACCCCGAACCCCGGACCCGCCGGCGGCCCAGCGCTCGTTTTCCTCCAGCTCCCGAGTCGACCCCGCACAGGAACGCCGCAGGCGGCCTTGGAGGAGGCTCCCTCCCCTCTATCACCCACACGGGGAAAGGGTCACGTACGCCGAGAGCTCGGGGGCACGCGGTGCACCCCAAGTGGGCTTTCACTGCGGGGAGCAAGCCCCGGGACTTGAGGCGCGCAAGCCCGGCAGCTCGGCCTGAGTCGGCGCCCCTCGGGAGGAAACCAGGGAAGCACCCCGAGCGCCGCCGCGGTCCTGCCTCGCTCGGGCGCCTGGCCCCGGAGAGCGCCCCCCACGCTCCCCAGGGGGGCACCGTCCTGCGGGTTGACGCGGCGTGTGCTGCCCGCGCGGTGCAGGACTCACCTGCGCTCCTGTTCCCGAAGCCTGCCCGGCAGCCCTCCCGAGACCGTGCTGGGTGCCGGGTGCTCGCCCTTGATTTCTCCTGAGCGTCTCTGCTACCCCCAACTTTGGATGTTTTAGATACGAATTAGCTCACCATCGCGCCTTATTTGGAAATACTCTTGAGTCAGAGAATTTAGAAATGACTCTGCTCCCCAGCGATCTTGGAAGGGGCTTTGTTCAAAGTTGGGAGCCAGTTGCCTCCTTAGCGCAGTAGGCAGCGCGTCAGTCTCATAATCTGAAGGTCCTGAGTTCGAACCTCAGAGGGGGCAACGCAACGTTTTTTTTCTTCCCAACTCGGAAGAAACAAGATAATGAAGTTAAAAATCTTTGTCCTTTTTCTGTTTTCGTGTAAAAGCGTACGCCATTATTTCTCTTTTTTAACACGAGGAAATTGCCTTAATGTGACTGAACGGGTCATTTGCTGTTTAGCCCAACCATGTAATAGTGTTCAGTTACAAATTAATGATCTTTCACTAAGAATAAAATACTCCAAAATTCTTCCAGCTTATCTTATACCAGTTGTAAATAAAACTAGGTTTCAAAAAAAAGCCATTAAAATATACTTACTTAATCATTGTCTTTTTTTATTTAAATTTTATTTTTATATTCCCCATACAATTACAATCCCCTTATTTTTACCCAAGCCCTCCTTTCCCCGCCCCCCAACCCCCATAGAGTGTCTATGGTTCATAGTTGTTTGTTGATTTTGATAATTTCTTTCTTATAGTTATTCATTTTCCTGGTCCCTTATTTAAGTTTTCTAGATTCCTGCTATGAGTGAGACCATCCGGTATTTTTCTTTTTCTTTCTGGCTTATTTTCCTGAGCATAATCCTTTCCAGCTCCATCCATGTTGCTGCAAATTGCATGTGTTTATCTTTTTTGAATGCTGAGTAATATTCCATGGTGTATATGGACCACATCTTCTTGATCCAGTCATCTTTTAATCATTGTCTTTAATACAAAATAGGGTGAAGAATGATGTGCAGACCTCTCCTGCTGCCGGCTGCTCCCCTCAGCAGTGTACTTCGGTCCTTGTACCTGTTCTGCTCCCCGCTCTGGCTCTGGTGAATTCTCTCACCTTCCCACGCTTCTGACTGTACCCGGTGGTGCTAGTATAAATAAATAAATAAACAAAAAATAAATAAATAAAAAGTAGGGTGAAGAAACTTACTGGTTGAGATGGAGCAGTGCATAGAGTTGTGCTGGAGATGTGGACAGTAAGTAATATGATGTGCAATACATTTTTCTTAATTACTGATTGGCATTATTTGTTACACAGCAGTAGATAAAATCTATTTGGATTTCTAAATTTGTACAACACAATCACTTAAGAGAGTTTTATTTAAAATACTGATTCTGGGGGAAGGGGATGAGGGATTAGGGTTAAAATAAGGGGGTGGGGGTGGGAATTTTATGGGGAATATAACCAAGATGAAAATGCATACAGTGGGCAAAAATGAAAAATGATGTAAAAATATATAAAAAATAAAATAAAATAAAATACTGATTCTCCAGGTCTCATGATTGGGATATTCTAATTAGATGGTTCTGAGATGGAATCTGCAAATCTGGAGGCCTAACAGCCACCCTATGAGATCTGAATGTAATCAGTTGAACATTATTCTAGAATTCTGGACCCTTGAACACATTCCATGTTGACTTGCTGGGAAGATGACTTCTCCAGATTTTCTTTGCTTTTTGTCTGATCACTCAGGGGTGGCCCACAGGGCAGAGCTAGCTGCAGGGGTTTCAGAGCAGAGCAAATCTGCCAACTTCCCAGATATCTCTCTAAAGATCCAAAGTGCCTTTTCCTGTTATTTTATTTCTGCCTTTTTCAGGAAAGAACTTACTAGGGAAATGAAATACTAAGAGGAAGAAATGACTTTGACACCTCCTGTGCCCCTATGCTCTCAGGCCCAAATCTTTTGCTTCTTTCCAAATGTCCCCCATTCTCCTGCCACACAGTTACTATCCAGGTTTAAAATCCATATTGTGGCCTAATTTGTGTTTTCAAATCCTCTCACCTGTTTTGTTTTGTTTTTTTGTGAAACCTGTATAATCTTTTTGAAACCTCCCCAATCATGTACTTCCTCCCTCATTCAACTCCCCAGTGACTTTATATTGCTGCAGGGGTGATGACTTGTTTGCACTCTGCACTCCTAGCCATTGCCTCCAAGCCTGTCAGTCTCTGGTGTGTCCCTGCCTTGTCCACCAACGACCCCCACCCCATCCATATACGTTCCCCCAATTATCTCAAGCACCTCAGACCTTCTTTGAGTACTGACAGTGACTCTTGGCTCTTCCTGAAACAGTGGAGCAGCAGTGCCTAATGGATTACTTCTAAGTCTGGTTCTGAGTTGAAACATCACTTTCTGGGAGAGGTCTTCTCTTATCACCTCCCTTCTGAATCCGACTCTCGGAGGTGTGGGCTGGGGAGCTAATAGTAGTTTATCTTATTATAGTGTAGCTGTG